CTATGAGCTTGTTAGGCTGAAAAAGCAAACTCTTTGCTGCTTGAGTACATTTAAGGAGGAAAACTGCACGTTTGATTTCTTGCAGTGCTTTTCCTTTAAGTCCAGAGTGGCTGTTCATGTAAACCATGTCGCTTCCAGTGCAAGGAGCCATCCTTACATCATTCCTTGTCATCCATCAAGCCACCCACGCACATTTTTTCACCCTCTCAGAACATGAGTCCCAGACTGGAGGGGATAAACCCCCCTTCCCCTCCCCCCGCAATGTGTCTGCCATGACTGAGTCAGTGTCTGCAGCACAGGCCGACCACATCAAACTCAAGTGGCCGAAAACTCTCAAAACCCGTACCTTACCAACACCCACACTGGCCATTTTCTTTGTCACTTTGCAATATTAAAAATGAAACTGGTCTTGTTTTTGCTGTGTTTCTACATTTATAACTGAAAGAACAACTAAGTAGTAATGTTGTACACACAAGTACAGTATAGTAGTATACATCATACAGTATAAAGGTAAAGTACTGTACAAAAGTCAGAGACTGCCCTTCATTTATTTAATTTTTAAGTTACTCATTTTTCAGGTGATATTTCTGGGGAGACAAGCTATGAAATAATCCAAGCTACACGGACTCCTAACAACCACCTAGAAGACCTGGTAGACACCAAAGCTGCCCCCATCGCATAAACAGCACTTTAAGCTTTCGTCTTTGAGAGAGAGGAGAAAATCAAGCTGCTTCAGATCTGAAAACATCCACAGGTGTTTCTGTCCATCCTTCCACTGTGAGAGAACAACTCAGCTCTATGGGTCTGAAAGGATGTGTAGCTGTCAAGACGCCTCACTGAGAAAAGGAGACAGACACATCAAACAAAGAAGTCCAGACCTCAACATCACTGAATGTGTTTGATTACTTCAGAAAATGATCAACCAACTTGTAAGACTGAACTTTGGAGGTGTGTCTGCAGATTTCTTTGAGAACCTGAAAGTGAGTCTCCTGAAAAGAGAAAAATGACTATATATTGGGCAATATAGTGTGAATCAATATGTGGTGCAGGTATACTGTGTCCATGCAAAGTTTTGGAATGCCCAGCCTAAATGGCTTTAAAATGTTTGAACATGTTTTCTTTGCCAATTTGCTAATTAAATAAAAATGTTTGCTGTTTTTCTCTGCAAAAAAACAACTGACCTCAACAAAAGTAGACTACAAGCCTAGAGAATAAAACCAAAAGCCAATTTTATCCCCTCGTCAGTACTTAAACATTTGGGCAGAAAGACTTTCTGTGCTTTTAACAAAAGCATTAGCACAGAGCTGCTAAACCTTCACAGTGATGTTTTATTACTTAATTGAAAAGTAACAGTGAAAATCAAACGTGGAAAACTGCAAAAGAAGGCGAGATGTTCCCAAACTTTTGACGGTTTATTCAGTGTCTTTCCTAACACTCACATACACACACACACACAGAGGGCTCTCTGCCTCAGAAGCTGCGGAGGAAGTGCATCGTTACTCCAGCAAGACTGGCTGGCGTCAGTGAGCGGGTCACAAGGGCATTGTAGATCCAACATGTGGTTGGAGGGAAGGGGGAAAGGGGCGGGGGCGGAGAGAGAGAGCGAGAGAGAGAGAGAGAGAGAGAGAGAGAGAGAGAGAGAGAGAGAGAGAGAAGAAGAAGAAGAAGAGAGCAAGAAAGAGAAGAAAACGAGAGCAAGAGAGAGAAGAAAGAGAAGAAAACGAGAGCAAGAGAGAGAAGAAAGAGAATAAGAGAGAGAAGAGAGAGAGCAAGAGAGAGAAGAAAAAGAAGAGAGAAAGAAGATAAAGAAATAAAGAACAGAGAAAGGGAGAGGGAGAGAAACAGCAGAGAGAAGAGAGAGAAAGAGAGCAAGAAGTAGGAGAAAGGGAGATCAAAGAGAGAGAGAGAGAGAGAGAGAGAGAAGGAGAAAAAAGGAGAGAACAGAGAAAGAGAAAGAAGAAAGAAAAGAGTCTGAAAGAGAGATCAAAAGAGAAAGAGAGAGTGAGATAGAGGAATATAGGAGAGAGAGAAGGAGAGAGAAAAAAGAGAGAGAGAGAAAGAGAGAAAAAAAAGAGAGGGGGAGAGAGGGTGAGAGAGAAAGAGAGAGAAAAAAAGAGAGAGGGTGAGAGAGAAAGAGAGAGAGAGAGAGAGAGAGAGAGAGGAAAGCCCCTGGACTTCAGGCCAGAATGGAGGCTCAGTTTGTTGGGGCTTCCCGTCTTTAACTGACTCCAGCGTGGAGCAGTGCATGTGAGGCTGGATGCACTGGTGTGTGTGGTGCTGGCTGGTCCTTTTCTTTCTTTTTTTAGCATTCTCTTCTTTCTTTTTTAATGTGTAAGAAAGGAAGAGAGAAAGAAAATGCTTAGAAAAGAAAATTAGAAGCTTCATAAGCAAACATGTTAGAGATTTCTCAACAACTCAGCACAGTTTAAGGCGAGTTTAGGCCTGCGGTTTACATGATGCTAATTGGTGTTGCATAGGCTTATATTATTCATTAGCTACATTAGCCTCATTGCTCCAGTGCTAAAACTAAAGAAGCACCAAACATGCCTTGGCTGAAGGACTACATTCGGAGTAAAGGGAGAGAGAGAAACTGCACTACACAGAAAAAGAAGATGGAATAGTAATTCCAGGCTTTGTGACATTATAATTAGAATCAATTCAGAATCACTTTAGTCAGCAAGTAGTTTTGCAAGTACGAGGAGTTTTTCTTGGCAAAATTGGTGCTTTTGTAAATTGACATTAGAGCAGAATGGAACTTCCAGGCCTTCAGAGAAAACCCATTGATTTCTGGGAACTTAAAATGCATGCTTGTAATATTTAGTTAATTTTTATTTAAGCATTCTATTTGTCTTTAAACTCTAGTATTACAATATTACTTTTGTTTCATTGTTAAGTTCTGAATGGAAAAAACTGGTAACTTCCTAGATCACTTAGTGGAAAATTGCCCAATAAGCAATTTTTCTCTGTGGTATCTAGATAGACATAACTAAACAAAGTATCCTATTGATTAGGACCTCAGGAGCTGTAGAGAAGTCCTAATGCTCTGTATGAAGGAATCAAACCAATCAGATTTTGATTTTCAATGGGGGCAATTTCATGAGAGGCCTTCTGGAAGTCAGGAAAAAGCTGTATACTAGAGCTCACTACTGAAAAAGTCAGTGTGAAACTGAAACAAGGTAAAATATAAGCTAATATGTCTGTAACAAGCTTTAAGTAGATTATTACATAAAATCATAAAATAAAAGCAAAGAATCCCATAGAAATGCTAGCAGGAAGTTAGTATTGTCGTAGGGGTGGGTTTTTTTCTACACGTTTTGGTCGAGTTTTAACATTTATGGCATGAATTGAAGGCCTAGCTCTAATAATCATGGTTTGAAACTGCAATAGAGAATATAAATAGTAAACAAATAAATAACACAAAATGCTTCACTGAATGTTTGGTTCAGTGATATGACAGTGTTTGTTTTAGTTAATTGCCATTGTAAACCCAAGTCATTAGTAGAGATAGTATAATATATACAAAATCATTACTTTCTTCTGGGAGGTGTCTGTCCCAAACCCTAACCCCTAAATTTACACTTGCGAAAGTAATATTTTCATTTTTTGAATGTCTAATTTAATGAATTATATTTGTCATTATTTTTAATTTTGAAATTAAAAAACTTTATTCAGAAATTGCTGTGTCACATTTTATGTCACTACCGAAACATAGCAAACAAAGAGTTTTAATCAGTAGGCAGAGACTTATTTTAACCACACCCCAGCATTTTAGACCAGGAAGTGAGGTTGCATCCCTGTCCATCATGGCCACATGGTGAACAATAATACAAAACAATAATCCCATTGTTTTGAAGTAAATGTGCCCCAAAGTCCAAAAATCAGCATGGAATATTAATAATTGTCGCTTTTCGTGTTTTAATGAACATATGATGATTTTTTGTTTGTCCAGCTGTTCAAATCTGTGTTTGCTAGTCATGTACTGGCTAGTGTTTTTGAGTTCTGCACAAAATTAGCTAAGATTGTCTCTACCGAAACATTTGGTAGTGTTGTAATTGTATTGTAAGTGACAAAATGGAATAAATTAATTCACCTAATAAAGATATAGGGTCACTCAAAGCAAAAGGATTTTCAAGGAAGTCCAAGATCAGTTAAAAGTGCCAAATGTGTTTTTAACTCTAAACCAATGCGGTAGAATGATCCATACATATAGTACTGTGCAAAAGTCAGAGACACCTATTCATTTATTTAATTTCATATAATTCTAATCGAAACAGCCAAGTACAAGTTATTTATCGTTGATTTCCAATATATTAATTAACAGTAACTGTGTATTAAAATGTGCAGAAGTGTGTTCTCTGTAGAGGATGTGTAACTTATTTACATTCAGAAAACAAATCATGTCATTTGACCAGAGCACCCAAAATTTCCATACGATTGTATGACATCAGAGATGACAAAAGCAGCCCTTAGACAGATTAATGTCTGTTGGATCAAGCCTTTATAACCGTCTATGTAGGTTTGTGTCAGTTGTCATGACAAGCTTACGTAGCCTTATGAACCTTACTCTTTGTATTGTCTACATAAGCACCAAATTCACAAAGACAAATCCCTCATACACGAGAACTTTCTTGATTCTGGATCAAGTCTTTTTTCCCTGTCCCTCTCCCCCTGGCCCGATTCCATTTTCCCTTTTTCAGTGCAGTACAGTGTCTCTCTCCCTTTCTTTCTCACTCTCTGACCATCTGCGGCTCGTCCAAGTGTTTGCCGGCTTGTGTTATTACTGCTATGTTAGCGCTCAGGTTAGCCGGAGCCGAGAGCATGACAGGTGTGTGCAGGTGCTCCATCTATCCGTCATTCGACACGTCTTTTACTCACGCACACGCTGCGCCACGTCTGCTGAGAAAGCTTTACAGCAAACACCGTCAGTCTCTTTCATCAGCCTTTACTCATACCACACAGTGAACAGACGCTCTTTCTTATCCAAACATAAATTAGTTTATTGAAAAAACACTTTGGTTGACTGTACAAAAGTCTGGAGATATAGAATGGACCCAAAAAATAAAAACAGAACAAAACAAAAGTGATTGCATAGCGTTTCTGTGAGAAGGTCACTGTATAAATACATGTGGTTCATGCACAGGCAGGTTCAGGTTCATACGTCACTATGGCTTGCAGGATATTGTCCACAATCTTTCTCCGTTTTGCAGCATTTTAAGGCAAAATTCTCTTTTTTTTCTTTAAAGTGAAAAGGTTGTGGCGCCACTCTTTGGTTTGAGCCCTATAGCACAGTGCTGTAGTGTCCTTTTCAGAGAAGAAAAATCAGCCCTACTGCTCTTTTACAACACTTTGAATTTGCTTGATTGAAATGTCAAACATCAACACAATTAAGGCCAAAAATATGTAAACAAATGTGATGAGAGATAAAATTCAGAGGATGTAGTATGTTTCATACATTTCAGTCAAGTAAATGCAAACCACTAGTATTTTTTTCCAGTGGTATGCTTTGGAGCACTTTAGTGCACAGACTAAATGAAGCCAAAATTGCTTTTTATTATGTTTTTAAAAAAGGTTTCAGACACTCACCAGCCTGCAATATACGTCTACAATACAAACATTTAGAAATAAAACAATCAGTGGTGAGGCTCTGCTGTTAGGGCCACTATGCAGCAAACGTGACGCTAATAAACGTCATGAAAATGAGGAATATTCGATTTTCACATCACGGTACACGACGTGATTTCTTGGGAATTTTGCTATTTTGTTACCCAACCAATGAAAAATGTGTTGCTTACAAAACAGACAAATGGTGAAACTGTTTGTGCTACTTTTCATTTCGTAAAAGTGAAAGTAGTGCGAAGAGCTCCTTCATTCAGGTGCCACAACCACATGTAACTTGGGTGTCCGTAGCCCAGTTTGAGTTGCCTTTCGAGGTGCTAACACCGTCCGTGATAAAGCCGACTAATCAGTGCTGGGACACAACCAACCTGTCATTTTGGCTGCCAGCAACAGCAGAGACAATTGGTGGAGTGAGTTTGTGTTGCCTGCAAAAGTTGAAACAGAAAAATAAAAATATGTTGCTTGAAAGAAACTATTTCTGGTGTGCAAGATATCACCAATTATATATATATGGTGTCCATATAAATCACGCTCGGTGTATAAAGGCCTTTACTCTGAACATGCATTTAAACGCCTCCATCATTTCCATGTGAATAAAATAGATATAACTTTGTCTTTGACTAAATCAAATGTGGCAGTAAATGCCATGACATAGTATATTTTATTCATGTAGAAATGATTTGCACATTCCGAATCAAGTAAATTCAACGCATTACTTTCTTTCCACATACAGTCTAGTTAGACACCAACTGACAGTTCCAGTATCAGATTGCCTTTGCTGGTGCAAGACTGGAAGTGTGGAAAAGGCTTCCGTGGCTGAGGCATCTGTCCTCAGGCCCGGTGCTCAGGCAGCTGTCTCAATACATCGCTGCAAAGTGTGGTGAGAGACGACCCCCCGCCCCCACACACTCTCCAGCAGCTGCCCGTGTGAGGGCCGGACCAGCCGGCACCAATGGGCATCTTGGGAATGAGCAACTGGAGGAAAAAACCCCAGCAGGCACCGAACTGGGTTAGGAAAACATTCTTCAGTGTCCGTACGACGCACACTGCCTCTTTGTGAGAGTGCAAGTTCAGGCTGAAAACCAGCAGAAGGCAAAATATATCATATCTCTGCTAGGAAGGTAAAAGTAAGGCACTTTGAGACTGAACTTCAAAAAAAAGCCCACAAAACTTCAGTTCGTTCTTGAGTTGCTTGGCCCCCTAAAATTGCCTCCTTGCACCAGGTTAGGCTGAGATCATTACCCACACTCAGCCAGTGGAGAGGTGGCAGTAAATGGCTTTGAAGCGTATGTACGTGTGTGGGCTAGGCGGTCGGGCAGCAGCTGGAGACCGTGTGTTTGTGCAGGAGGGACATGCGGCTGAAGGTGCGAGAGCAGGTGCCACACTGATACTTCTTCACCTCGGAGTGGGTCTGCAGGTGCGCTCTAAGGTTCGAACGGTCAGCAAATGCCCGGTTGCAGTGAGGACAGGAAAATGGACGCTCACCTGGAGAGAGAAAATGAAATACAGTTGGTTAGCCTCTTAAAATCTACAGATGTTATCGCCTGAAGCTCCCTCTAGAAGCTCCCTCACAGAAAACTATTGCATGATATGGGTGTAGATATGTTGCTTGATACCTGAGACATCGTTTTACAATAGTTTTGAGAAAGTTTTAGCCTAAAACGTATTTTTAAAATCCATTTAGGGCATTACAAGGCAAAATAGTCCCCCAGGTAAACATATTTCTTTAGATTTAACACTATTTTACCATCAATATAACATTAACATATAAAAATCATTCACATATGCATACAAAATGTTCACTGGTGGTTTCTGACGGTAAATTAATGAACCATTTCACATCAGCGCTCTCTGGATGACTTAGTTTTGATTGTTGAACCGTTGAATTATACAGAAATTTTACAAAATTGGTGGGATTCCCTTCAAGACACACTATCAGGTAACTACTTGAATTACTTATTAACTACAGTGCTAACAAATATATTGTTTTGAGTGAGGAATTTCACTTTAATGGGTCTACAGGGGTTAAGGTGTTAAGATAAAACGTGCTGTCTTTGCTCTAAGATGCATTTGGTCAAGCTAGGATATCATCAAGCTTTTCAGTTTCTCTGTGTACTTTTTTATCACCTTGCCTACAGCTGTTTGCACTGGTTAAGCCACTCTGGATAAGAGCGTCTGCCAAACGATTAAATGTTCTCAGATCTGTTTTCTGTCATCAACTATACAAGCTAAGACCTGTGCAGTTGTAGCAACAGCAATCAAGATGCAGACATCTAACTCCAGCCATCACAGTTCAATCTCTCCAGTTTAACATAAACAATTCCACTAACTAGCATTGCCTCTGGTTATCAAATTTCCAAATTGCTCTGCTCTAATAAGGCAAATGTAGCGACTAGCCACTAAAGGAGCCATCAACCATTTCTACAAGGCTAATTCTAATGCTAATTACTGCCAAATGGTGGCTACCCCATTTCTTTTTACTCCTTTGCCTATGTGAAAAAAAATAGTGGTACCAAAGTGGCAAATGTGGCAATCAGTAGCTACTAGCTGTCAGTGAACAGGAATCCTTCCCATAATGCTAATTCCCGCTAACTGATGGGTACTAGCATTCTTCAGTGTTTTATACTTTAGTTCACTCTGCCCACAAGTTAGAGGTACTCTTGATTGCTTGGGGTAAACGTGGCCAAAAGGCTTGGCCGCATGCGTTAGCCGATGCTAATAATAATGCTAATTACTGCTGATTCCATTTGACCATTTCACACCCTACTATCAGTCTTCCCAAAGTTGGAGCCACTCACCAGTGTGTGAGAAAATGTAACCATGGTCTGCCACAGGTTGTAAAAAGAAAAGCAGCATGTTTGAGCTGATGCTAATTGTTATGCTAATTACTGCTAATTGATGGCTGCTACCTTTCTTTTGACGTTTTGACACCTTAATGTCTCTCTGCCCAAAATCAGAGCCACTTACCAGGGCACCAGTGTCTGGAGAAGGCCTTGCCACAGGTTATACAAACACAACACAGTGGAGGCTAATTCTAATGCTAATTACTGCTAGCTGGTGGCTGATTGCATGCATATTTGATTAGAGAACTTCACACACCGTTCAATTTGCTACTACCTTTGTTTTTCCTGTTCTTTTAGAGTCACTTAACAGTGTAACCAGGCCTTGCCACAGATTGCACAGATGCTAATTATAATGCTATTTACTGCTAGTTGGTGGCTGTAAACTTGACAAGAGACCTTTCCATTTGCTACCACTTTACTTTTTACTATTTTATTCACTCTTTCAGAGTCGCTTACCAGTATGTGTGCGAATGTGGCCTCTTAGCAGCCAGGGTCTGGAGAAGGCCTTTCCGCAGGTGGTGCAAACGCAGGGCAGCGTGTGTGAGCGGATGTGCATCTTCAGGGCCCCCAGGCTGTTGTACTCTTTGGGGCAGTGTTTGCAGCGGAAGGCCGCTCTGGAAGCAGTGTTTTCGGCCGCGTTTAGCCCAGCGTCCACTCCGGCGCTGCAGTGGGTCAGCTGGTGGCGGGACAGGGCCGCAGGGCTGCTGCAGGTTTTCCCACACTGAGCACAGTGGAAGCGGTCAGCAGGGTCTGGGCTGGGGGGGTCAGAAGTGCGGCCTTCGTCCTCTTCTCCAGAGCTGGATGGAGAGCTGAGGTCCAGGGGTCCGGGGATGGGGGAGGGAGGTGTGGTGGGGGACACTGGAGTGAAGGAAATGGGCAAGGTGGCGGTGGTCCACACAAGAGTTGGTGTGTAAGCGGACGCTAGAGAGCCGTCGACTTTGGTGGGGAGTTCAGCAAGAGGGTAACGCTCGGGTATGAAGGCAGAGAGCGGGCCTGGAGAAAGGTGGAGAAAGAGAGCTGTTAATTGTAATAATAATAATAATAATATTATAACAGCAATGTTATACAGTTAAAACAACACTACACAGGTCAACAAGAATGCAATACATATAATAATAGCAGAAAAGCTATTAACAGAAAGCTAGTAAATAACAAAAAAATGAACTCTATGACTACATTTACTTATTTATTTATTTATTGCATCTTAACTGTCCCAGTATTATTAGATTTAACATAAAACACAATCTCAAATCCATCATGAACCTACTGAACATCACCAACATGACAGTCTGAGACAGAAAAAGAGAGAGAGAGATTGAGAGAGAGAGGAAGAAGGAAAGCAAGAGTCAGGTGGCTGTTCACTAAGGCCTAATCCACTTAGATGGTTAAGTTGTTTTGATGCTCGAGTGTCATATTACAGTCCAATGGTCAATTTGCCACAAAGAAAGCCAGTCAGGACAGTTGTATTTGATTATTGCATCTGCCCACAAAGCCATGGGGGATTTGGATGATAGCTGCAGGGCCCTCGGCATAAAGTTCCAATACCATTGACATATTTGACCTTGCCTTTTTAAAACGGAAAATTGGACATGACTAACGTGAATTAGATTAGCTTGGCTATTGTGCGTGCTTCTGGCTGCACACCAACTATGGGGTAATAGGACTTATTTCCACCACTTATTGACACAAGACTGCCAGAGGACTGCAGCACTAAGTGCTAAACTAGATTCATGAGGATGTAATTTGTAGCCTAGAACAGCCACAAGTGGAAATGAGGTTCCGCTGGGGGAAGCTCAAAAACTGCTTGGTTTGGATGTTTGTTACTCCCCTCAAGAATTCACATGTCTGCAGCACTAATTAGACCGCTAATAAAAAGTCACAGATGAAAAAAAGGAACAGTTACTTGCTGATCTGGTTGAGCAATGCAAATTTTCATCATGCAAATCCATTTGGATTTTGGTGTACTGCAATTTCAAGGACTTCAAAAGACTTTATGCAGAGATTACTCCACTGATATGGATTTAGAAATAGCTTTTAACCACAAGCAAGCCAATGCACATCCAGGAAAAACAGCTTCAATGAGCTTGCAGATGTGGAAAGAAGTTCAGACTCACCATTCTGGCTCTCCAGCTCGCTGTAGTTTGGTTTCTTGTTGGTGAAATACTTCTTGACCAGGAATGAACGAGGCATTTTGGAAACAAGCTTGATCCCGTTATTCTCCTGCGCAGCCTGAACCCCACTGCAGTCTGCCTTGACTGCTAAAATCTCAGTGGAGGAGCAGTTAGAACCTTCAGGACCTTTGTGGAGGTTGAAGATAAACCAAAAAAAGACTAGTCTGAAGAAGAGAGAAGGGTCTTTTGGGAGTATCCTGTATCCAAAGCCGCTGGAATGACTGACTGAAGTACAACCATTGAGCTCACTTTAGTCCCTACATATAGCAGGGCAGGGGTGGGAGGGGTTGGGGTAGGAGGGATTTGGGGTGGAAAGGGGGCAGGTGGGCGGTTTTTGGGGGTGGGAGGGGTTTGGGGGGGTGGATAGTGTTGAACCCCTCACCCTGCAGGTGCCCTGGGGAAACTCTGCAAGTGGCTTATTGATCCCTCATGAGCTCAAATCTCATTAATAGTTGATAATTAGCCCACTTTAAGAACATTCCAACAGAGATTATGCTAATCATGATTATTATAGATGATGAGACCTAAACTGTGACCTGCCTTTGCCAAAATCATGAAATAAGTAGTAGGATTAGACTATTGATTAGCCACTTTTGGTGGCCAGCACTGTAAGTCCACCAGTTTTAAATGTATCTGTGCTCTTAGAACCTGAAGGTCTTTACAACAAAGACTTTATTCAATAGTCTTCAATCCCCAACTTGAAACGCATCAGTTAGAGCCCCACGTGATTTTTTATAAAACAGATTAGGCTGATCATTACTGGAACCACGTTTTTCAATTGGGATCACAGCGCCCCCTGCTGGACTGGTCCTTAGAACTTTGCTGACAAGTTGCTTGTGGCAGGAAAAAGCACTTTATCACAGAAAAGGGGGTCATTTCTGAACATTTGGGAGCTCTAAGTATCATCCCACACCTCACCCACCTGATTATAGTCTTTTGTATGCAAGAATTCATTTTGATAAAGAAATGTGTAATAAAATCTCATTTTAAAAATGTGGGCCTTGTAGTGAGGTTGGCTAACACTAACACTTTTAGCAATAAACATGGATAAATAATTATGAATGAAAGTGTCCATACATCAGGTATCAACTGCTGGATATAGTGTAGGCCTAAATGCATAATTTAGCATGCTACATAACTGTATCAGTGCAAAGGTTGACAAGTGGTCAGCCTATATGTTGTTTCAGATGTTGAAATCTAGTGTCTATACATCAGCTGTGTTTATAACTGCTGAATACAACGTGGGCCTAAATGTGTCACTATTAGCATTTATATTACTGTAACATACAATAATGTTCTGTATGTCAGACTATAAAAGCAATGTTAAAGACCAGTAAGAACTTTAACATGTTCTACTTGGTAAATGATTGCTCCTGTCCAGGCTTCAGGCTACAATATAAATCACCCAGGCCAACCCACTCCAGGCCTATGGCTGTTAATTTTGCACAATGAACAATTGAGTTCTCACTAAAGAGCAAGTTTTACTAGCGCATGGAGGACAGCCTAACTAACTCCCCGTGGGTTTTCTTCCCCTTCTCCAACAAAGCACGCATGCTGTCAGCCTGTGTGTCCTACAGCGAGACTCTGTTGGAAACCTGCATGAAAAGAAGCGCTGTTCTCCCCAACGTGTGAGCCGAAAGGGGGAATGAAGTGGACACGTCTGAACAACGCTGACCTGTTACCTCCTACAGTCTGCTTAGGGCCAGGTCAGATGGACTAATACAGTGTTTCACAGTCCTGGACTTTCTGGCTCCTAGACATTGATCAGGAAAAATCTATACCAACACCAGTCTACAAGCTCATCAGGAGGTTAGAGCCAAAAAGTTGTTTCTCCAAACTTTATAGGATAGGGGGAAAAAAATCTTAACTTTCAAGTTTTTGTGAAGACAGTTAATGTGTTAATGTGAAGTAAGTTAATGTGAAGACAGTTTATTCATTTTACAGTTGGAATTATTCATGTAAGTCATTTTGGAGCATTTCTATTGGTCCATTTTAGGGTGTCTGTATATATATATATATATGTGTGTGTGTGTGTGTGTGTGTGTGTGTGTATAAGTGTCTATATATTAGTGTAGTAAAAACTTCTTAGTACTTATTATTATATTTGCCTGAATGAGAGTTAGCCAAACAAATTCCTCATACTTCCCAAATTGCATAGAAATTCCTATAAATATATTAATAAAATCTGAAATCTTCAGCCTTTAGTTTTCACTTCAGCTCTGTACTGATGTATAAGCCAGTGCTTATTGCCTTTCATAGCACATCTAAAGTGAAAAGCACCTTCAGTCTCTCTGTGAATGACCTCTCTAAAAAACTTTTCGTGCCGGTCAGTGCGGTCTGCTGGTTAGAGCTGTATGGTGTCAAACGCAGTATCGCCACAGCGGGGCGCCTTTGAGCGAGTGGCGTGAGTGGTGCTGGTACACGTGTCTATGGACGCTATTGTGCGGGGGGTCACACGTCGTTCACGCATGCAGGGCGACGCCAAGAAGACGAGGGTCAAACCAGCACAGGTTGCTGTTAAATCCATCAGAGAGAAAACAGAGGTGTTTCTGAAGGCTTTTCTAACTTTGGGTTCTTAACATTGTAGCTAAACTGGAGTCCAGCTGCTGTTTTGTATATAGGCCTGCTGAGAAATTCATATACTGAGTTTACTTGATTCACATCATTTATACAGTAACAGAATAAATCACTAAATCTAATTAAACGTAATTATGCTTACTTTATAACAAAACATACTTATTCCGTGTTCTTTAAGCACTGACAATAACCATGATATGTTCAGAAAAGCATATTGTGACAGTTTATTACGATAATGATTAAATATCATCACATTGCCCAGCTCTCGTCGTAATATCCGTCATGCAGTAATGATGGACTCATATGCATCAAGTAAAGTGAATGTATTAATGTTTTTCAATGTGGATTTTACTGTACAGACTAAAAATGCATTTACCTTAAGGATTAAATATATTTTCATTTTTAATCCTTTGTGTCTTGATATGTAGAGAAAAGAATCTTATGATGACATTGTTGATGGCCCTGCCTCTGTTTTATTGTATTCGCATTACTTGTATTTGAATATGTATTTATCTCGGTTACATAGCCAGTTCAGTAGTTTAAGGGTTTCTTTCCCTTTGTATACAATTATTGTTTTTATCTTAGTGTTTATAATTAATTTTACTGTTATTTTTATTGTTATTTTCACTTATATTTTCGCTTACTTTTATTACTATTAATAATCTGACGTCTTACTTTTATTTAATTGTTTATTTATTACTACTACACCCTGTGATGGACTGGCGACCTGTCCAAGGTGTTTCCTACTTTCCGCCCAATGACTGCTGGCATAGGCTCCAGCTGCCCCCGTGACCCAGAAGAATAAGCGGTTTAGAAAGTGTGTGTGTGTGTGTGTGTGTGTCTGTTTCTGTGTGTGTGTATTACTATTACCTTTACTGTAGTACTATTCCTTTATTATTTCTTTGTTGCTGCTATAACATGAATTTCCCTCTATTATTTCCATCTATTTATTAACCTTCTTTTTTCTTGATTAGAATTAATAATTCTCTCATGCAAAGTACTATGACTGGGGAGGGTTACCCGTATGAAATTAAAAATATATATACACATACTTCACTCATAGTAAAATTATATGTGCAATATAGGGGCGATATGTGATGTTTTGAAATATAGGTGCTATAAATATGTACATATATAGATGAAACATATGTAATAGTGGTTTAATAGTTTTAATATTTCCATAAGTCAAACTAGTATGGGAATTATGTTACAAACTTGACACATATTTTAAAAAATAAATGAAAATATATTTCCTTTGCATATGAATTGGGATCATCAAAGTAGGATTGGCCCTGTAAAAATCTACCTGTTGCCACTGAAGAGGAATGCATTGATCCTTTATTTAAAGAAAAAGACAATATATTCAGAAAAAGGTGTTGAATATGATGTAGTACATTAGCCCTGTAGCCTATTTAATATTCATATATTTAATATCACATTTGTAATACATATTGTTACTTATTATTTATTACGTGTTTTTGCCTATAACGGATGGGCATGTCTGACAGTGCTGAATTTGTCTCCCATGTAATTTATTTCACTTTTATGCCCGTCATGTTTTCTCTCCAGACCGGCTGTGACCACCTGACCCTGACACAAAGATGGCCACAAGTGTAAAAATGTTCAGACATTGTAACCCCATACGTACAGCAAGTGGCCTGGCTTCTGCTTTACACCAGTTCACAGGGCCTAAAGTGATGATTTGCACAAAAAATATATATTGGTAAGTGAAATCATCTTAAATGTCTGTAATATATCTAATATTTCTCATTATAAGATTGTTGCAAGATATAAAATTATTCAATCTATTAGCATTTTATCATGTAAAAATATCTGACACCCTTAAGAAAGGGTTCTTTAAGGGTTCTTTAGTAAAAGCAACAGTTATATATAGAACCATGACAACTCAAAGAACCATGTGAATGTTTAAAAGGTTCTTTGCGCTGTTAATTGGTTCTCTATGATGAATCTGCTGTTGAATGTGGTTGTTTAAAGAGTTTTTAAGATGATAAGTCTGTATAGCAGAAAGGGTTCCACTGTTGTTATTAAGTTAAAGAACCTTTCTTGGTACTATATAGTTAATAGTTATATTGCTGAGAGGGGCCTAAAGAGATCATTTGAGTTAAAATGTGTAACATGTTTAGAAATATGTTGAATAATCTTATAATATTCTTCCTCCAATCTCATGAGACATATCAGATACACTGCCTAAATATACTTGTTTTTACTCCAAAACATCATTCTTTGCTGTGTTTTTTTGCTCTAGCACACCTGATTCGCTCCGTCAGCCCTTCACAAGCCGGGTCAGGTGTCTCTGAGCAGGAAAAGACGAAAATGCGCAGAGCTCGGGGTCATCAGTGCTGGAATGTCACACCTCTGCTCTAAAGCAATGTGGAAGCTTATTCTTATCCTACTATTGGCTTTCACAACAAATTCAAAGTGAAAAGCAGGTTCAGTGAGTCTGCGAATGACTTTTTAAAGCTCATTCTGTCTCTTTGTGCCCGTCGATGTGGCCGTCAGGTTGGAATGCGATAGTGTGAAGTGGCCACAATTCATTCCACATCACTACACTTATGATACCTTTTGTGTTTTTTAGGCCATTTGGTGAACAAAATGATGGTTTATTCAGATGTAGATATGCTGACACACCTCAGCACTTTAAAGCACATCATTTGATAATCTGTT